CTTGTCAGAAGTCGAAAGTTGAGCACCAGAAACCTGCTGGGTTGATGCAGCCGTTAGAGATTCCATAATGGAAATGGGACAGCATTTCGATGGATTATGTAACGGGTTTTCCGAACACCTTGAGAGGATGTGATTCCATTTGGGTGATTGTTGATAGGCTTACAAAGTCAGCTCACTTTATTCCTATTAACATCACTTTTCTGGTATCGAAGTTGGCAGAGATTTATGTCAGAATGGTTGTTAAGTTGCATGGGATCCCGTTGTGTATTGTGTCGGATAGAGATCCGAGGTTTACTTCTGAATTTTGGAAGAGTCTGCAAGAGGCATTAGGTTCCAAGTTGAGGTTGAGTTCAACCTACCATCCTCAAACAGATGGTCAGACTGAACGGACTATTCAGTGTTTAGAAGATTTTCTGAGGGCATGTGTTCTTGAGGAAGGCGGTTCGTGGGATACCTATCTTCCGTTGATAGAGTTTACTTATAATAACAGTTACCACTCTAGTATCGGAATGGCACCATTCAAAGCTTTGTATGGTCGGAGATGTAGGACTCCGTTGTGTTGGTATGAATCCAGGGAGAGTGTGGTACTTGGACCAGAAATTGTTTGGGAGACGACGAAGAAGGTGAAGTTAATTCGAGAAAAGATGAAAGCTTCACAGAGTAGGCAGAAAAGTTATCATGATAAGCGCATAAAGGAGTTAGAACTTGAAGCTGGGGATCATGTGTTCTTGAGAGTCACGCCTGTGACTGGAGTTGGTAGGGCTCTGAAATCTAATAAGCTTACCTCTCGTTTCATTGGTCCGTACCAGATATCAGACAGAGTTGGAAAGGTTGCGTATCGAGTGGCGTTGCCGCCTAATTTGTCGAATCTGCACAATGTATTTCATGTGTCACAACTCCGAAAGTATATCTCAGATCCGTCGCATGTCATTCCTATGGACGATGTGCAAGTACGTGACAATCTTACGGTGGAGACGATGCCTGTAAGAATTGATGATTGGGAGGTGAAGAAGTTAAGAGGAAAAGAGATTGCTTTGGTGAAAGTGGTCTGGTTGGGAGCTGTTGGCGAAAGCTTGACGTGGGAACTGGAAAGCAAGATGCGAGAGTCTTACCCCGAGCTGTTTGATCGAGGTAATTTCGAGGACGGAATTCTTTTATGTTTGGGGGAGTTGTAACGCCCGTTCATTTTAAATTAAATTATTTATGAATTGTTGGTGTGCCTTTATGTGGGAGTGTGTCTGAGAGCGTTGGTGGGTGTCCTTAAAGTATAGGAAATCATTTAATCAAATATAGAGTTTAATAATAATATAATATAATTAATAATGATGATAATTTAATAATTAGTAGTAATATTATTATTATTATTATTATTATTATTATTATTATTTGTAATATTAGTGGATGGAATAAGTGAAATAGGGGAATTATTAGAGAAGTTGTGGGGGAAAAGAGGAAAAACACGATAAACTGCTCAGAACCAAAATTTAGGAGAAAGGTTGAGGAGAAGGGGAAAAAGGAAAAAAAGAACGTGGCTGGGGGAAATTGAGAACAGAGAAATTAACCGCCGGAAAGAGTTCAAGGTAGTTGCAGAAGAGTCACCGGAGAGCAAACCAGAACCGGGAGTTTAGAGTTATCCTCAATCCAAAGGTAAGGGTGGGGTTCAATTCTATAACTAAGGGTATGATCAATTTCATGACGGGAATTGAATCATGGGGTTAATTTCTGCGAGTTGATAATATTAGGGATAATGCTCGTCGGTGCCTGAATTAGTGTTTTATGTCAGTAATTCTGTGTAATAATATTTGGAAACGGTGCCGACACGCGCAAATCTTTACTTGTTGAGAGAATGTTGTTATTATGCTCTTACTTGATTTGATATGAAAATTGTGGTTATATGATGCGTATGAAATTGCGATGTTTCGGTTATGGACAATTGAGTTGTAGGCTTAATGCCTTGTTGCGTAGTTGTTGCAGTTGTGTTTTAGTCTATAATAGATGCATCCCATAGCATATCATCCTTGGTTGTGCCTGTATTGGCGTTGGTTGTGCCTGTATTGGCGGCCTATAATGGCAAATAAATTGGTTGTGGAGTGCTGCTCCAAATTGGTACCACATGCATATGCATAGTTGAGTCGCATAGTGTCGCGTCATTATGTGTTTGCAAGAAATGATGAGTTGCTGAATTTTTCTTGCTAATTGTTGCGAATATGAATGATGAATTTTCTGGTAGTTCGTTGTGATAATGTTTGGAGAACTGCGAGAATTATAATGCTGTGATATGATCCTGACATGAATTTTATCATGCCTTATGTTATAATTTTGATATCTCACCCTTTACGTTGTATGTTACCTCTGTTGGTGGTAATTTGCAGGTAACCCAGAATAGAGTGTCGCTTTTCGTTTAAGGTCGTTGGTCGCTCTGATACGTAGCACTCTTCGGGGGGGGGGGGGGATGAACGATTAATGTTATTGCTTTTAATTGTTTTCTTTGTTGCCAAATTTTATTAAGTACTTTTCTTTAAATTGATTGCTTCTGATAGTGCCAAATGTTGGTTGTACGCACTAGACTGATGAATCGGTAGGACTGATTTCGTGGTCGAGAACTAGTTGTTTTGTGAATTGATGCAAGATAATTACTTGCAGAATTTTAATGGAATTTAGTTGCAGACTTTTCTGGTCTTGCTTTGGTTTATTATAAATGTTGGAAGTGTATTAAATTCCGCTGTAAAATATCAAGTTGTCTTGTAATTGAGATGCTAAGCAAGTTATCGTTGTCTGTTCATCCGACTTTGTGCTATGTATGTTACTAAATGATTGTGTTACAGGTGTGTGTGGTCTGTTTAAGTTGAAAATGTGACGCCCAGTTTTTGTGAGTGTGACGACCGTCACCACTCCATCACGGTCGTCATGACCATCACGATCGTCATGATCATCACGATCGTCACTTAGCCATTTTTTCGTGCACTCTGATTTTTATTTTCTTGTTTATCTGTTGGGTTAGAATGAAGTGTTACACGAGCTATTAGAATACACCTTAAGAAAAGGTTGTGTGCAAGTTTGATGTCTGAGATAAAGTTCAAGACAGTTGTGTCACTCTTGTTGAATTAGAATCCTACTTGCTATGCAAAGGTTCGAGTCGTAGACACCTTTGTTTATGGAAAATTTTAGAAATGTTTAACGTTACTTCTGAAACACCTTTTAAATTCAAGTGGAGGATTGTTGAAACATTATGTCAATATTCTAATATAGGGAAATGAATTTGAAAAAATTTTCTTAAGTCAAGTCCCACATTGTGTGTTAGTTGAAAAAACTCCTTAGTCCCACACTACTTAGGTGAGATATATTTTCTTTCTCACTTTATTATATAAGGAAAGTCTCTATTTCATTCCAAAATATACTAACAACTTATTTTGAGTTTTTCCTTCCTCACTCTCATAAATTTGCGTCTTTCGAGTTGTCGAAGCGCCGACTTTTCCCCCTTTCTTTCTACTCGTTGAATTTTCCAAGTATTTTCTTGATTTCTCTTTAGAGAATTATGTTAACTTCTCCTCATTTGAGTTGAGAAATTATCAAGTATAATTTTTTGGATTCTCTTTAGAGAATTATTCGAATTTCTCTTTGTCTTAGAAATCTTTTTTAATGGTCAAATGACCATTATTGAATTCTCTTTAGAGAATTATAGAAATTTCTCTTGGTTTGAGAAATTATTACGACTGGCCGTTATACCGGATACTACAAGTGATATTTAAACCAATTCAAATGGTCTTTGTACCATGAGAGAGCGTATTTCTAGACCGATTATCTACGGTGCAAGTAATAATCGTAGAGTATAAAACTTGGTTGTTTTATCCTGAAGGCAACACAATATTTCGATTGCTTTGCATAACTTTAGGCAGTGCCGTGAAACGTCTTAAAGAGAGCGACCTAGTCTGCGACTCAACCGATAATTTCTTCTATGGCTAATTTTTAAAACCTTGAAACAACAGTAAAGAGGCATGTGTGTATCAAATTTCTACTTGTTATGTCACTCTTGTTTTTCTAGCATTCCTTATGTTAGCGACTTTTATCTTAATATAATTGTTGTTTTTTTTTTTTTTTTTTTAAAGTGATAATAATTGAAGTTGAAGGAGATTGACTGATAGAATAAAAAAGTTTTACACTCTCATCTAATAAGAAGATATAGTTTTGCTATTTCATATAATTTTTTTAAAATTAGAGTATGATTTAGCGAAATTTATGGTGATGATTGGTTAACCGTATAAATTTTTTGTGTTACCCATTTTCTCTAATTATTTTAATGAAAAAATAAATAAATAGAAAACTTTAAAAAAATTTATTATATTTTTAATTAAAATTATGTGGAATACATTAATTGACACTTTGAGACTAATAATTTTGCAAAATCATTACTAATGTTTTCTTACCATTGAAGAAGGGGACGAGTAATTATAAAGACAAAAATGTTCAAATCACAGTTTCCAACATGTCAGCCCCCTACTTTATTCAACAAATTTGAGATAACCCCACCCCACTCCACCCCCAAAGCCCACGTGCTCCCAAGCAGGCCCCCACCCTCACCCATAATGAAAGAAATTCATTTTTCATCTTATATATTTAAGATATTTTACATCCTTAAAAAAAATATATTTTACTAAATTTTAAATGAATACCATCCCTTTAATAAGTCATATTTTCAATAAATATGATATATTTTTTTACAATATTTATAAAAATATTTTCAAATTATTAAATATTTATAATACTCAACAAAATTAATGGATTTGTAGGCCCACTAACTTCAAATCAACGCTGCTATATATTCTATTTACTGGGCCTAACTTTGTATATGGTGTGGGGTCATCATTTTCATTCAAACCCAATTCTCTATTTCTCTCTCACACACACAACGATAAAACACAAACCGTTTCTTTCTCGTCATTTTCACAGCCAAAAAAAACCCTAAAATTCATTCACAATCTCCAAACCAAACCCTACCAACAATGACTTCACAAGTAGCTATCCACACGTTCTCTCAATCGGAGACCAAAACTTCCGCCACCGTAACCACTACTACAGATTCCGATCCCAATCTACAGCTCTCCACCGTTCGAAGAACTTCCTCCACCGCCACTCGATCCACCAAAGACCGTCACACTAAGGTTAACGGCCGTGGTCGTCGGGTCCGTATGCCGCCTCTCTGCGCCGCTAGGATATTCCAGCTTACACGTGAACTCGGTCATCGCTCCGACGGTGAAACCATCGAGTGGCTCCTCCGTCATGCTGAGCCGTCTATTATCGCTGCCACCGGTACTGGCACTATTCCCGCCGATCCAGTCTCGACTGTTGCCACGGTTTCTTCCTCATCTGTGCAGTCTGTGTCTTGCAATGTTCATCCGGTGTCTTCCGTTGGTCATGGTAGTCAAGGCGTGTTTGCTGCGGGGATGCCGATACAGCAGCCGAGCTGCCGGCTCGACCTCTGTCAGCCTAGTGGAATGGAATACGCGGCGGAGAATAGATACCGTCATATGCCGTTCACGGCGATGTTGTTGCAACCGACTACGGCGGAGGAGAATCAACAAGAAGAAACTCTGAGCGAACAATGACATTGTTGTGAAGTATTGTATGGTATTCTGTATGTTTGTGAAATAGAATTGAAATTCGAAGGTTTCTTTTTATTATTTATTACTTATATTTTTAATTAATTTTAAGATTAGTTTTAGAGTGTGGTTGAATCTATAGACTTGTTTGGTTACAAGTACAACCAGAACAACACAATTGGGTTGTAATTTAATTAATCTTGTTCGGAAGAGAGTTATGTAAATGATTAGGCTTAGAATTAGAATTAGAAACTTGGTGAATGTTAGTACGATGACTTGTTCATAAATAATTATCAAGTTATATCTATGCAATTGGCTTCGACATGTAAAAAGTTTTGATTTGGACCCACCCTTGATAAGTTCTATGATGATTAATTGATGTTTAATTTTCTTTTAAATGTTTTGTTTTGAAAATATGATTGGATTATTAGTGAGGCAAGTCCATTAAATGGATCTTGATGTAGTCTAGAAGAGAATCAAGTTCATTTTGGGGTAAAAGTTTAGACTAACATTTGACCAAATCATACTAAACATAAATTTTTTATATTTTGTAACTATTTATATGAAGGAGGAGATAGTCTCCCGAAAGTAAGGGTGGAATCGACGAATTGGGTTTCGTCAAATTTAAATCTGACCTGTTAAAAAAACATAAGTTTAAATCTGATTTGTAGTATGTCATAAACTTATTTTTAAGTCTAAGTCGGTCAAGAAAACTGAAGTCTAAATCTGACTTGTAGTCTGTCATAAATTTATTTTTAAGTCTAAGTATAGTCTGTCATAAATTAATTTTTAAGTCAAAGTCTTCTCTTTCTAAGGCTTGGTTAGTATGCTAGTCTATATAAAAGCTTGCTATTTTAAATATATTAACAAACTAAAAAACTAATAAGACTAAAAGTTTGTTTCATTGACTTATTTTAACTTATATATTATCATATGTTTTGTGAGATTATTTGTTTAAAATAACTTATGAAAATAACTTATGATGTCGTTCATAAAGTGTTTTCATCTTATTTTCATAAGTTTTCCAGGATAACCAATTTTTATTTATGTACTTTAATTTAAAGTATAAAATATAACATAATGATAATAAAAAATTATTCATATTTATTTAAATAGGCCGGTCTGTTAGACTTAAAATATTTTTTCATAGCCTGAGACCTAACATTTTTAATTAAAAGTCTATGTCTTTTCTATTTAAAAAAAGTTTGGTCTGACCTGAGTCTGTGTACGCTAAGCCCGTAAACCTATGTTATTAGTCTGACTTATTTCCACCCTTATTTGAAAGATGTCGCAAAAGATATAGACTTTACTAATTAGTGCGTGATGGAAAAATTTGACACTTAAGTGTGTTTGATAGAGTTGGATCAAATTGTTTACCTTACAATTAGGATTCAGGGTGTTCAAAATCAAATCAGTCTAATAAAAAACTACAAATCAAATCAAAAATCGTAAAAATCAAATATATTTCGAATGTGTTAGAGTCATATTTTAACAAAACCGTGTGATTTGATTTGCAGTTTGTATTTTGCAAACCGAACCAAACCGAATCAAAGCACATTATATTACACCTCAAATTTCATTTAATTCACATCCAACCCAAACTCAAAATTATTACGTCTTATCCTTATGATTGATTATCAATGATTTTCTCTTCATCACACTTAAGGTTTCCATTTCAGTCTTGTCAAATCTCTTATAGCACCGCGCCTTTTTTGGACAGATACATCTCGTCTCTTCTTTTCTAATATCTACTTTCTTATATTCTTTATTTTTCATCTTATCATTTTTATGCTACCTTCTCTTTTCCAATTTAGTTTTTATCACACTCTTCTTCTCTAATATCTCATCTTTTGTGTTCTTTCTTTTTCATCTTCACTAATTTATCATCTCCTCTATTTTTTTTTCTTTCTAATCTTTTTGTTATTGTTTTATGTTTATTATTCCAATTTTGTCTAATTTGATTTTTATATATTAAATGAGAAGTTGTTGTTTAAATATGATGGATTTTGTTGTTATTTGGTAATATATGAATGACTAAACACAAAGTTATGTTGTCATTTATATGTATATGTATGACTCAGTAATTTTTTTAATAAAAAAATCGAACCAACCGAACTGAACCAAACCACATTGGTTTAGTTTGGTTTGTTTCGATTTTATTTTTAAAAGCCAACCAAATCAAATTGCATATTTTTTCTCTTATGGTTCGGATGACATTTAGCATAAAAATCGCTCAAAACCACATCGTGAACACCCCTACTCACAATACTCAAATGCTTTGAATTTCATGGAAGTGGATTCCCCGACGTTTGAGTGTGAACTACACTCTGCAGTTCACATGTTTTATTTCGTTTGATAAATCCACCACTTGAAGGATGCCACGTCGACAACGGATAAATCCTAATGATCTGACAGGTATCCCACTATGTGGGCTTCATCACTCCATTTTGTTTCCACACGTCCTCAAGGACAAAATTGCTAAAAACCACCACTATGCTAATAAATGCGTTGATAACTACTTTGAACCTCTTAACTGCCTCCATCGAGAGCCCTTGATTAACTCTCGTAGTGATGAGACATCTTCATATCACATAGTCTTTAAACTTAAGAATATCATAAGTCCCTAACACCTGGTAGACGTGTCAACTTCGACTCTGGCCGAAAGTCTATTTTGTGAAACCCTTTTCAAGAATCTGAACATGTTTGGAAGAGATTGATCTTAATATTGTGGATATGTTCCTTAGACTCCCCTAAAACAACCTTCGATTCGACTCATCTAGCAGGTTAGTCGAACATTTTAGTGGACATAGCTAATATTTCGAAGCTTTGGTTGAAGCTATTGACACTCAACATTTTTAATGCAATTATTACCACTTTTTGTTTAGTTTCTTTCAGCTAAAATTTCCAAGCAAACATATGCCCTCCAAAAATGGCACTTTCGATCATAAGTGGAAGAAATTCGGCATTTTTAATAACAACTCGAAAATGTTAAGAATAACATGTACATGTCACATTAATTATACATTTTTACTCATCATGACTAATTTTTACCAAACTGTCACGCCACATACATGCATGCAGATTTTCCATCATTACTCCGAATTCCCAAGATAATTATGTACCACGAATGTAACACACTAAACCCCAACATATATTTTATACAAAATCATGTGGAAAATATGAAGATAAAACAAAATAGGGTGTCACACATGAAGGTGTGAAAAATACACAAGAATGGAGGGTTGAATTCTGTTTCACGTTTTCTTATTATTTAGCTTCTGATCAAAGTTTTAGAATCAGAACTAATGTTCAGATTTTGAGTTAATTCTTTTGGCAGCGGATACAACAGAAGTAAATAAAATAACAGTAGAAGACACAAAATATTTATATTGCTTCCTCCCCTAACTGAGAGTAGTCCAGTCTCCTCGTCTCACAAGAGATTTTCATTATAATCACTTTATGATTACCATAGCTTATACTTCTGCATAAGACTTTTAAAACTGCTCAGACCAACTGTTTGAAACTTCCCTTTCTTAGAGCACATGTCTAAGACTTAACCTTTGCTCACACCATCTGACTGAGCCGCCTTCTCATTCTGGTTGAGAATTACCCTTTCTTAGAGCACATGTCTAAGACTTCCTTTGCTCACATACTCTGGCCGAGCCACCTGCACTTTTGGCCATCCAGACTGAAACTTTCCCACTTGCTCAGTCAGACTAGCTGAATAAGACTTTCATAGCTCAAGCACTTAAGCAATGAGACTTATGTGGCTTAAGCATATTGGCTCATAACGTATTGCTTGAATCCCAATGAGACAAGACTTTTTGATCAAGCACATAGCAGGAGACTTAATCTAAGCTACTGAAGGCTCAGCATAATAGAAAATAAGTTGTATATGATGCAAGCATCAGAGGTATGGGAGATCACCATAACAAATACCTAAAGCACTTAAGATTTTTAAATATGTAAATGGGTAAGAAATCTTAAGGCTTTTACAATTACAACCTAAAACAGAAAATCTGCATATTACATAGAGTTGATAATTGCTTGATCTTGCTACTTCTTCAACAGAAGAATCCTTGTTAAAATTCAAGCTTGAATCTTCAACCATATATATAGCCTTTCCAAAAACTAGTTGTTGAGAAGATGAATTGATCAAGTGGCTTTACTTTTGCTCCATAGTACAAGAGACGTTGAAGATGGATGCATAGTAAATTCTGAATCCTATGTGTAATACATTTAATCTTTGAGTCTTGAAGAGGTTATGTACTAATAGAGGCGTTGGGAGCAGATATCCATGGAACGTACCGGCTTTTCTTGAGCCTTGAAATCTTGTAGACTCGAGCTGACAGGCTGGTAAGACAATACAACTTGCTTTTAGTAGTACAGATAGTTCACAGCTTTATCACCAACTCTGAATGGTACCAGATGCTGATATACAATTACTAAGTGTAGAAACTCGTCTGAATGTTGAGGCCTTTAGTTCAGAGTCTTCGTCAAACCACACTAGCAATTGTTCTTCAGACTTTGCCACCAGAAGCTAGCAATAAAGAAACTCCAAGTGTATCTTAAGTAAAACAGGTTCTGATTATTTATGTACAAGAAAAAGAATCTGCATAAATAAAATACACATCAAATAAACCATTATTCTTTTAATACTTTTGTTATCATCAAAACTAAAAGAGAATATGTCAAGAAAAAATCTTGTTCTGACAACACATATCTTTCAACATTCAATCTTTAATTCAAAATTCAAATTTAACTTCGAAACAACATAACATCGTTATTCAAGTAAGCAACTTACAAATGAAACATGACATTCCTAACCCAGTGTTATACTATTAGAGAGACAAGAGGAATATTAAATAGCTGACAACAATGTGGCGAACATAAAATGGTAAATAAATCAACAAAGAGGTCAAATACACCAACCTTCACGATTAAGCACAACAACTACTCCTCAGTCTCAATCTAAGTATCTGTAGAATATATGTAGCACCCTATTC